AAAAATCTACAAATAAATGTCGTTTTTCTGTTCTATTTTATTTGTTTTTGTCACGAAGACTGACGTCCCTGTCAAAATATACAGAATGTTATTAACATAACAGCGACAATTACATTATTTACTGTGAGCGGTCTGTTATCTCTCGCTCTTAGCATTTTTATTTTCGCCTAGTACCGGTCACACTTGCATTCCGGCTGCTGGACCAGCGGAAGAAACGGAGTTTTTGTATATTTCTTTTTCTTTTGGACCTGTGAATATTCATGTTAAGCCATTTGTTTACACTGTTTTGGTAACTTAATGTTATAAAATAATATTGTTGTTTATTTTGTTAAGTGTTGCTGCCAGTGGTCAGGGTAGTAGAGTTCAAGTGAAGCTTACTTTGGACAAGAAGCTATCATCAATTTTCGCGCCCGCGCCATTTTTTTGTATTTTTAATCATTGTTCATCATTATAATTATAACCATAATTATGGTGGCCCTAAGCATAGATGGCCTCAACAAAGTTGCAGTCGAGCTAGAACCAGACATAATATACCGTGTCGGACGCCGGTTGGGCCTAGAGTTTTTTATAGACGATGAGGTGAGAAGTCTTATTGCTTCCTTCGCACTACACACAAATTGAAATTCCTTTCTATATTTACTTGGTTCCTTAGTCTATTGAGCTCGCGCATGCTACAATTGTTATCATAGCCGGCGGAATTGTGCGTGTATCAGCTGCGACTGGCAAAGTTTACGTGAAGGGCCTGGAAACGGGTCTGGAAATAAAGAGCATAAGCGAAGCAGATGCCTTCAACGGCCTTGTGGATTTGCGCTTTGGTAATGTGGCTGCCAAACTACAATTTAACGATGGCAAGCACCTGGATAACAGAGCGGTAATTATATCAGTCAATGAGTATTTCAAATGATAAACCATTTTAATTGCAGGCAAACGACACGAGTGGCTTTGAGGAGGGGACGAAAGATAAGTCGGCTAATAGAACTTCTGGAAGCTTTTTAATTCCGGAATCTGAGCCACAATCTGCAAACAATACGGCAAATATGGAAAGTTTTACCATTCCTGAAACTCAGGCTATTTGCTTTAATCGACCTTCAAGCGGTCACGAGCATTCCAAGGTTTCATTGGGCGATGATTTTTTGATTCCCGAAACCCAAGATGTCATGCTGAATGTTAATAATCCTGTTCTACTGAATCAAGATCAGGATATTGTCAGCGAGGACGATGGCTCCGAGCTAGGCACTCAAATACGCATTTGCACGCAGGAATTCAATGAGTACAATGAAGATGCCATTGATGATTTTGACTCCTCGCTCCTACTTGGCGATGGTGGTCTGACAGTGTTTCCGCCTCCCAGGCAGCCAGATGGTAATTCAACTCGTTATCTTCATCTGAAAATTATTGCTTCATCTTTCGGCCTTTCAGATAACTCAGGTGCAGACTTGGATATGAGTGCCTTGAATTGGTCTGCATCCAATTCAAAATGCACTGCATTAAACAGCACCAAGGCTAACGATGTGTCTTCGCGTGCTGATATTTGCCTTACACCAGATCTATCTGTAGCAGGACAAAAATCGGAAGAGCTTAATGATGTTCCTTGCACTCCAGATATATTTGATATGTTCGATGTGGAACCAAATGAACGCTTGGGCTCTTGCACGCCTGAATTAAATCTACCCACAACTGTGCTCTCTAGCCCAGCGAATGAAGTTGATGACAACCAAAAGCTTGGCGTTGCAAAGCAGCCAGCGGCTACTAATATTGAGACACCAGAGCCCACTCCAGCCGAGCTGCAAGACAACTCGCAAGATTTTATTGAAACGCAGGCATTTCCACTGCGAAACGCACCCACGCATTTACAAATTTCAAGTGCGGATGACAATGACGAGGACTTTATTGAAACGCAAGCATTTCCTATGGGAATAGCAGGACAACGCAAAACGAATGTATCCTCAGACAATTTACAAGACTTTATTGCCACACAGGCGTTTGTAAGACCTAAGCCATCTACACCAAAACAGAATGAAACGATGAGCACACGATTGAGTATTACAGCCCAAATTCACAACCATAACGAAGACTTCATTGAAACACAGGTATTCCCCACAAAAGCAACACATCCAGTGCCTTCGCCAAAGCCAACGCCGAATGGAACTGAAGACAATTTTGAAGACTTTATTGCCACACAGGCATTTATTAGACCCCAAACTACGGTGCCAAATAAAGCAGTAGATACAATGTTGAATATCACTGCTCAAATTCATAATAACACCGAAGATATGGTGGAGACCCAATTGTTTATCCCACCCACCAACAAAACTGATAAAACTGCAGGTAATATGGAAATATTATATGTATATTATATCAGCTTAACGTTGATTTCTGTTCTAGCTAATGAGAGTTCGGCTGTCATTCTTCAAATTCCCGATTCCATCAAAATTGGAGATGAACTTGATAAAGACCTCAGCCAACTGATTGCTCTCTCTGCAATGCCGAGCTCACCGGTAGATGATGAGGAACCTAATTTTGATATGCAATCCAGCACTTTAGAGAAAACTCATGAAAACAAGGTACTTTCGCATTTTTTAACTCAAGAGCATGTCCGATTAGGCAGATAAAATGTCACATCGACATGTTCTTTACCAAGAAATATACTGAAATGTCAGTTTTGCAGATACCTCCATGTAAGGAGCTCCCAAATGAAGTGGACGCCATACAGGAAGATCAACAAAAATCAAGCAAACGTTATGGCCGCAAACGTGCTTCTCCTCGCCCAGTATCCCCACAAGCTTTAAGTAAGCTTTAATTATATATAAATTATATAGCAACTAACAGGTACAAAGTTTTCGTACAGCAAGCAAAAAAAGGCGCACTCGCCAGGACTCAAGATCGCCCACGCCATTAGGAACAGCGGCGTCCGGGATTGAAACTCTACCAATAGAAACAAAGACGAGACGGAAGCGATCGTCAGTGTCTAACGAGGAATCCACAGCGCGTGAGTCTCAGAAGTTTTGTTTGTGTTTAGCAATTTATGAACTAATTTGAATCCCTGCAGCTCCGAAAAAAACACGCGGTAAAACATCCCAAGCAACATTTGACGACACCATTGATGCCAAACCGCAAAAAAGTGAGGCTTCTAAGAAAGGCAGCGTGCGGGTTAGATTACGCAAAACTCGTACCAAAACGGAAGATTTATCGGAGACTTATCAAAGCGAAGATTCTATCAATGAAGATAAAATTGCAACCGAGCCTAGGCAAGAGCAAATGAAGAACGATAGTAAAGTTGTAAGCTGCAGCATGGAAAGTAAACTAAGCAAATCTAAACAGTCTAAGGACTTGAGTGATGATAAACCAGCTACCACCCAGGACAAGCAGCCAGTAAGCCGCAGAACTAGAAGACAATCCCAACTAACTGATATAATTGAAGCAAATGGCATTGAAAATCAAAAGCCTGCTGCCGAAATTGACGAAGCACTGTCCACAAGAAAAGAACTACGGCGCTCAGTTAAACCGCCCACCGAAAAAGACACCGGCTCCACAAAAGAAGCCAAGCCTGCACCTAGCCTTAGAAGTTTCCGCATGTCGACCAGCAAAACAGATTGTGAGTCCGTGCGGATCTTTTTTGATGTATTATACGTTTATAATTTATACAATATTTTATGTTTATTGTTTACAGTGACTGAGGAAACTAAAGAAGATACTGCCAAAACCAAAAAGAAGATCAATGGGGTCGGTGGCGTGGCCAAAACTAAGAGCAGCAGAAAAACATCACAAGACGCTTTTGAATGTGCCAAGGAAGAGAAGCCAACGACTAGTTCTAATGCCTTAACGCATGGTATGTTTAGAAATTGTATAATTTAAAATTTGATGAAAGCACAAAGCTTTTCTATTTCTCTAAAGATGCCCGCAAAAATAAGCTGCCTAGTCGGAAATCCCTAAAAGGTGCCTGTTGAACTAATGAAACGCATACAGTTTATGATAATTTATGTATTTACCAGATATTAACGACTATATAAAGAAGATAAAACTTTCGGGCCGAAAAATCCGCTTAGCACTATCCATGTGCAATTATACCGAGCTGAACGCTGTATTGGCATCTTTAAGAAGTAAGTTCTTATCAATTACGAAGTTTTATTGTTAATATATTTTTCTCTTTATAGATGCTATAGAAATCACTACGGATCCACTAGACTGTGATTTGCTTATCATGGACAAGGGGGAACGTACATATAAATTTTTAGTCGGCATCGCAGCGAATAAACCCATTTTGTCGACTAAGTGGCTACACGGCATGAAGGAAACACGTTCTATTATCGTACAATCGGATCATATCTTCAAGGATGAAAAGTTCGAGGAAACCTTCAAATTTAAACCCTTATCAGTATTTGAAAATCCCAGTTTATTGAAAGGACTAGATTTTATGCTCGCTGGTGACATCCAGCCGAATGTCAAGGACATGAAAGGTAATTAACTCTACAGCCTAATGCAGTTCATTTAAGAGTTGGGTTTAATTTCACAGCTATCATTGAATGCGCCGGTGGAACGGTGCACACTAAAGCGCCTCCGATTGCCAGCAATGTGCATCTGTATGTGGTCGCCAGCAAGCAGGACAAACACATTTGGCAGCTGCTCAGAAACTACAAGAATGTACAATATATTAAAACTGAAGGCGTTATGCAAGCCTTGGTACAGCGTAACATAGAGCTGCTGGATGAGCACAAACTCAACTTGTCACAGACATGTAAATAGTTCAATAGATGTAAATAGGTTTAAAGATTTTTGTAAAGCAATCAGCTTAGTTATATACAAAAAAAATATTGTGAGATTGCCTTAGATGTCGTTGACAGCGAAACCGTTGTGCCGGCTGGCCATGAGCAGCATCAAAAAATTAGAGTACGTAATCCGCATCAAACAAGGCAGTAATCATCTATTACCTACTTCTGCAGCCTTGATTTTTTCTGATATATTGATGCTGCTTCCATATAAGTATTTGGATATTATATGCTAATTTGTATTTACTTTTCAACTTTACAATTGTTATGTTAACTATTCTAACTTCTTGCGCTTGGAACCCGTTGGCTTGTCAAATTGCTGCCGCATGCCGCCGGCGCGTTCATTGTGAAACTTCATATTGTTGGAGGTCTCGGCATACCATGGCGAATCGAACTTTGTGGTATCCTGATCAACTAAATGCGTATACTTGGTGCGGCCGCAGCGACCGAAGTTTTTCACCTGCATCACCTTGGGCAGAATAGTCTTGTCAAAGTGATCCTCGAGCGTGGCCTGTGCGAAGTCTCGTTTGAGCACATCGTTCTCTTCGTCCAGGTAGAAGGCACCACGATGATAGTATTTCTGCAGGAATTTATATTTGCCTTTGGTGGCCTTATTGGTGACGAGTTTGGGATTCGAGCGCAGCTCCTGGCGTCTCTCCTCTTCGGTGAGATTGCGCATGCGTTCGATTTCGAGTTTTTCACGTTCGGCGCTACAAGTAGAAGACAATATAAGAGGTTTTATCTATTCATGTTTAACGTTTAGTGTATGTAACTTACTTGTCGCGCTCCTCGCGATCTCGCTTCATGCGTTTAAGCTCACGTAATTTCCAGGCCTCGTACTCCACCTCGTCGTTCTCATCGGCTGTGCACACATCATCTAGAGACGCTTCGTTTGTCTCCGGTTTGATCTTCTCCAAGTCCTTTTTTACGCTCTCCTCGACCAAGCGTAATGTGGCACGCCTTCGCTCTTTGGCCGCTCGTTTGGCCTCGGCTTCCAATTGCTTTTGTTTCTGGGCTTCGCGTTCTTTCTCCTGTATGGTGGCACGATCCCGCTTGCGGACAAACAGCGGCTTAAGACGCGGCTCGTTCTCCTCCTCGCTCTCTGTTTCCTCTTCGTATTCGGAGCTCTCTGACTCGGATGATTCCGACTGTTTCTCGTCTTCTTTTTGCAGCACCTCTTCTTCACGTTGCTGCTGCAACATGCGCGACCGCAACTTTAAACGACGCTTTTCCAATTCTGTGTCACTTAGCTCAGAGTCCGTGTCGGATTCCGAAGCTAGAGTAATTTTATTGGTGCCGCGTTCAATGCGCCGCTGTTGTTCACTGTTTTCGTCTGTGAGAGGTTCTTCCTCGCTAGCGCTTTCTACCATTTCGGGTTCATGGATATGCCTGTGGCGTTCACGACGTTCGCGCTCCAAATCTTCCATGTCCACAGGGCGTGCACGCAGCCGTCGCAGGCGTGGATCGTCCACCTCAGCTTCATCCTCTTGCTCTGCCGTTTTCTCGTCCCCACTTTCTCGTCGAGACAGCTCGAGTTTGTGTCGCTCCGCTTTGTTTCGCTCCATGCGCTTCCGGTTGTCCACGAAATCATCATCGTCACTCTCGTCCGAGCTGGAGTCGGCGCGGGCATAATCAGGTCGCTTGCCAGAAATATAACGCTGCACCTTAACCTTTTGCATGGAAATCTCGCCTAGAGCATGTCAAAGGGATCTTTAAATAAGCTTCTTGCACGAGAGTCTTATGTTAGCTTACCTTTTTCATTTCGTATGGGCACCGCACCCGCGGTGCACTGTATGCCCGTTGGGGCGGTGGGAGCGCTCATTATGCCCACGATTTACCCAAAACAACTTTGTTTTTACTTAATTTTTTATTATTTTCTGTAGGAAGTACGTTTTGTTTTTGTTAGAGCTGTTACTCTGTTTTCGATACTATCGGTTGTTGCATAGCGATAGTCATTATCAAACAAAACCATTTTGAGTTTAACATTTTTTTTACAGACGTACAGACGCAACACTGGCGCGCTCTGTTAAGTTTAAATATATAAAGTCTTACTGTTAGTTACCTGTTGTTTGATGTGGAATGACTCAGTACACTTTATACGAAGTCTCCCTCTAATTGAGGTACATTTAATAATTAATGCTATTTATGTAAGCCGCCGACCATTTTAGCAATTTAAACGCCCACTCTCATTAATGGAAACAATTAACAATTGACTCTTACACTTTCTTTTTCCAATGTCCAGGGGCGGATAGACACCCAGGCCAAAGGGCAACAAAAAATTCTTCAATATATTTAATATGTATAAGTTGCTTTTTTGCTTAAGGTTTAATATTGTGAAAGTTTATTTGGAAATAGTCACACATTAATCTTAAAAAAAAGTATATCTTTTCAATTATTTAAATCCTTATTTTCAATTTTGCAGTACCTTTTATTTATTGTTAAAAACACGGCACATGTGGCGTACATGTGACAATTCCTTAATTTTAATCAAAATTTATTGGCGTGTATGTTTTAATTTTATTCATTTGAACTATGCGACGCGAGTGACAAATGCTTTCAATTCCAATTTCTAATACATTTCAATTAAAATTAAACACTCACAACATTTTGCAAGAACAGCAAACATCATAAAAATAATCGTAAACAAATAATTTTCTATTAACAAAGAACGCAAGCCCGCTGCTTGATGTAAATCGGTACCAGATCGAACTCGTTATCGTTATCCAAGCATGAGACACCAAATATGCATAACCGGAGACGTAAGCCCCCCGCGTGCCAATTGAACCGACCGTACAGATAAAATCGTATAGACGCTCAAATATTAATTGGCGCACTTTTTTGTCTTTGCGACTCATTTGAGTTTTTCAAACATTTCAAATACACCGAGAGGGTGTTATTACTCGAACCCCCACTAGTAAGGCTTATTGCTCAATAATTAAACTTATGTATTTTTCCGTAGAACGCACATTGTTTTCCTTTGTTGGAGAAGGCGTCGCCGAATAGTCTTTGGGTGCGTGTTCAATTAATGTCGAGTGTCTGCTTGGAAGAAGTTGTCGCCAGTATTTTCCGCAAATCCCTTTGAACACACAACTATAAGGTAGAGTATTAGAGTGCCAGCAGAGACATTTTTAATCTGTTATTCGTTTAACAACAACAAAGGTTTCTAATGCACTTTTCACACTGATATATCAACGATTAATTATTAGCTTGATTGCAAAAAGATCGTAAAATTTAAATATTCCCTAAATAATGTTCGTAGATAAGCAGAATGGCACATGGATAGAAAGTTTCGCAAAGAGCAGATCGCATAGAATATTGTTTTATTAACTGCAAAAAGTTGGAGAACATAAAAATTACAAAATGTATTTTATGAATTTCTTTAAGATATCAATTAAGGCATTGCCCAGGTCTCCTCTGTGTGCCCGTCGCTGTGCTCTCGCTGCCATCGATCTTTATCTCGATCTCGGACTCGATCCGTCGTTATTTGTTGGCCATACTCACGCTCTCTACGGGCTTTCGTTATGCTCTCTCCTCTGGCCTAAGATACTGAGCGTCGGAGCTGATACAATCGGCTGCTGGCCATATAAAAACCCCAAACGGTCCCCAGACAGATTCATTCATTTGAAAACTGTCAATAAGTTCGAACTGCGAGAAAACAAAAGTAACATTCGATAAACAAAAGTGTATACAAATCAACAAAAACAACCAAAAAACTAAGCTGAATTTTAATAATATTAATTCGAAAACGAAAACACATTTCTGTGACCTGAAAATCCTTGTGCTCAAAGTGTGGCTAACTTTGTTCTTAGCCCAAAATTTGAAATCTTGTGCGGAACTTAATGAAATATAAAAATAATCGCGGCACAATTTTGCAAATACAATTTAGAACATTTTTACGTTAGTTGTGTGTTAAATCAAAACAACAAATCAAGCGAACTCAAAGGATTTTTAGCGAAAAGATTAAACAACATTTGTTAAGGTAAGCGATAATTACTGAGATCTATATAGATTTTGAGATATAACCCAATTTTATTAATGCCCAATTGTCCTGATGTATTTAATTATATATACTTATGCGGCAAAAATTATATAAAATGTACAACAACAAACGATAATATATAGATAATTGTTAAAGACAATAATTAAATTTAAAAAATTGTTATATTGATTTCAATTATTAGAAAAAAGAAAAAAACTATTTCAGTCATACACTGAGTATATTTAAGCAAATATTCAATGGCTTCGCCCTAACTATTTGCAGTTACTAATCAAATTAAACTGCCAGTTATAAATTTAACAAGCACTTAAAACTCAAAAGCTAATAAGCTAATTAACTGAAACACAAAAAAATTGAGTGCGCTTTGCAAGTGGAGCAATTGAAAAGATCAGTAAAATCGGTATATTATAATGCACACATTTGCAGTACATGCAGTTACATATATGGAGAAATATGTAAGTCATGCCGCCAGATGATAGCTTCAGAGTTTGTTTTGCAAAACTCGTAAATTATAATAAAAAAGTTCTGTGTGCACAGCAGCAAATTTCAAACATGTCAAATGGAATTGCGTACAACTTGTCGTGTTTTTCTTTTTTATATTTTTATATTATTAAGTAATATTGTTATTATTATTAATTTTATTATTATTATTAATGGGCAGACGGCTGACAACAAGTGGAATGCTGCCCAAAGCTACGCGCATATTAATTGACTCTATCAGATCACAAGCTGAGGCCGTGGACGATGTTCACGCGAAGACAGCTCGAGGCGCGTCAGGAGAAAGATTGAGAGAGGGAGAGAGACACTCGCAGAGACAGAGATAGACAGAGAGAGAGAGAGAGAGAGAGATAGAGAGAGAGAGAGAGAGAGAGAGAGAGAGAGAGAGAGAGAGAGAGAGAGAGAGAGAGAGAGAGAGAGAGAGAAGGCAAGTTGCCCTTTGAGCCATTGTGGCTTTACTCTTGGGCCTGCCTCTTGGCTGTAGCGCTTCAACCCAACTCGTATTTCTAGCCAAAACTGGCGAAAACCGGCGTATCCAATAATAACCAGTTAAATTCAGTTAAATCTCATTTATGCGCGTTCATTTGTCACTTGTGCCAATAGGCCAGGAGTTTCTCTTATACTAAAGCTAAACAGTTCCGTATAGGTTATAGGAATACTTTAAATGAGACTGCCTACTTATTATTCAGTTCGAGTGTCTTCGGAAATTAATTGTAATTTTTGCATACGTTAAGCTTTCGGAAAAACTAGAGGTTAATTCTTTGCCCTCTCACGATAGTTAACTATGGGTATCTCCAAAATAGTGACGAGACTTGGAGAGTCTACTCAAATGTTTACCAATATTCTTGATAATGATATAATTTCATAAATTATTTAAATAATTTATTATAATAGTTCTGCATTTGAATATAATTATAAATGTGAATGATCGAATTTCTATACTATAAACTATAATGCTTGTAATCATAACAGATATAAGTCAGAATTTAATTTTTGTGGAAGATTATTATTTGTATGACTTGTCCTCTAGTTGTATTTCGCATTTATGTTTAATATCAACATATTTTGTTAATTTCTCAAATCAAAAACAAAATATGTAAAATTATAGTCATGCTCGAACTTTTCACAGTCAAAACATAAGTCTTAGCACCAGGAAACTGAAAGCATGTTCATTGTCCCTGAATAAGTTCCGCTTAAGCTAATAATGTCAATGGATATGGTATACAAATAATAATTTTGACTCAATAACCAATTAACGGAGACAGTTTTTAATCAAATTGTTTATGTAAGGAAATGATAAATTTGTACTTGAACATAAAGCAGCGGCCATTGGCTACAGAGGCTGGCACGAGTTGAATGTATCTTACAGATACAGCTTCAGAACTTAATTGATTAACGACGCCTACAGCCAGCACAGCTTTGTAATTGCCGCCCTGGCGCAATTTCAGCCATAAGGCCTTGAACTTATCAACTCTCCATATATGCTATATAAAATCCTATTTTCTTTTAAATTTTATTCCGTTTCAGTTTGTATCTTGTGGTTGTGAGATGTAAATAAAAGGTTGTTGCATAAGCAAAACTTGATCAATTACCTGGCCAAATCCATACAGCTCTCCGTCTCGTAATCCAACTACTTTTACAAAAATGTTCGCCACCATCGCCAAACTGTTGACCCTGTGCGCATTGGCCCATTCTATATACGCTCACACGCTGAAGCAGCTGCCGCAGCAGCTACCCGTCACACCTGAGCAGAAGTATCTGATTGTGCGAGGAGAGACGCCGGCTGCATCTGCTGCATCCGAGGAGCACGTGCAGTTCAATGATGCAGCCACATTGCTGCTGTCGGCATTTAAGAGGCAACAGCTGGAAGCCGGCCCGGGACTGGAGGAGTGCAGTCAGCCCGGCCATAAGGCCAGCTTTTCGGGCATTGACTATTTCATTCTGTTGTCCATGCTGGTCGTTTCCCTGGGCATTGGCATCTTCTATGGCTTCTTCCAGACGGGCGGCAGCTCCTCGGATGACTTTCTGCTGGGCTCAGGCATGAGCCTGTTGCCTGTCACTCTCAGCCTGACCACAAGCTTTGTAACAGCCATAGAGCTATTGGGCAATCCTTCCGAGATGTACTTTCAGGGCACACAGTTTGTGCTGATTGTGATACCCATGCTGCTGGTCATACCGGTGGCCGTCAAGATATTCTATCCCATTTACTTCAAAATGGAGCTGACCAGCTGTTACGAGTATCTGGGCATACGCTTTGGCAAGGAGATACGCGTTCTGGGCGCCGTGCTCTATGTCGTGCAGGTGAGTTAATACAGTTGGATGCTGGAATCACTTTTGCTAATCGTTTTGTGACTTTCAGATGTGCTTTTATACCGCTGTTGCTGTCCTGGCGCCAGCCATTGCCTTGTCCAAGGCAACGGGCCTGGATACCAAAATAGCTGTTGTCCTCATTTATGTGGTCTGCGTCTTCTACTCCTCAATGGGCGGCATTAAGGCTTGCGTTATAGCAGATTCCTTTCAGGTGAGTGGCAGCTTTAAGTATATCTTTAACTTTTATTCATATCAAGTTATATTATGTAGGCTGCTGTTCTGGCCGTTTCGCTGGTGCTGATCGTCCTGCTGGGCTGCTTTTACAGCGGCAGTCCTGTCCAGGTCTTTCAGATGGCAGCTGAACGCAATCGCCTGGAGTTCTTCAAGTGAGTATTAAGCTGTCCTGTAGATCTGTCGCATTCACAATCTAATCTCGTCTATATTCCTTATAGCTTTGATCCCACTCCCACCACTCGGCACAGTGTCTGGTCTGTGGTCATTGGTGGCTTCTTTTACTGGACCTCGCTTTTTTGCACCAATCAGGCCTCCGTGCAGAAGTGCATGTCCCTCAAGTCCTTGAGGCTGGCCAAGATTGCATTGGGCTTTGCCATCATCGGCCTGGTTGTCGTATTTCTGCTCAACTTTTATACAGGTCTTATGGTTTTCACCCACTATGCTGACTGTGATCCGTTGAGCGTGGAGCGCATCACAGCTTCCGATCAGCTATTGCCATACTATGTGATAAATACCTACGAGCACGTTTATACCGTCGCGGGCATTTTTGTCGCAGGCATCTTTGCGGCTAGCCTAGGGTAAGTCTAGAATTATAAGCCACTAGCACATATTACCCAGATCTTCCCGCTGCCAGTTAAAATATTTATTGAATTTAAATGAACATTAGCTTTGAGCCCATGAAATTAAAAAAGAAAAGCGCAACTTATTTGCTCTTGCGGCTTGAGCGCTGTGTTGATCATCAATCAGTCAATCAGTCAATCAGTCAGTACTAATTTGCAACTTTACAACACTATTTGCAGCACTGTTGCCTCTGCCTTGAACTCACTTTCGGCTGTCACCTGCGAGGATTTGCTTATCAATGGCATGAACATTAAGATTTCACCTGAGAAGGGCGCCACCTATGCCAAGTGGATGTCATTGGGCTTTGGCGTGGGCTCCTTTGGTCTGGTCTTCATTGTGGAGCATTTGGGTGGTGTGCTGCAGGCGACGCTGACGCTTAATGGACTCATCGGAGGCGTTACCTTGGGCCTCTTTGTTTTGGGCATTGCCTGCAAACAGGCAAATTCGAAGGGCGCCTTCTATGGCGGCCTTTTGTCCCTAGCTCTGGTCATATTTGTGGGCGTGGGAGCGCAATTGAGCAATGTGGAAATACCCACGCTACCCACATCCGTGGAGCACTGTGATTGCCATGTGAATGTGACCGGCATAATTGAAGATTTACTCAGCGAAAGTTTGTTGCCCGAGACAGAGCAGGGATTTACGTAAGTGCCGATTATTAACGAGTCCTATGGGAAAAATCGCCCTAATAGCTTTTAATTCTTCTTGCTACAGCTCCTGGTCCATTTTTCGCCTGAGTTATATGTGGTTCAGCATGGTTGGCTGCTTGTTAACCGTCTTTCTCGGCTGGCTGATATCGGTTATCATTGATGCACTGCAGCGACGCAGCGTGCTAAAGATTACGGCCAAGGGCATTGACAATCCCGCCGTCACTGAGGAGGTCTTCAAGAGCGACAGCCCAGTGCTCTGCACCACAATGAAGCCAGTTGAGCTTACCAGCGGGGAGGGGCATGTGAATCTGGCCATACGCCTGGACGATGAATACAATACCAAATAGATGCCTTCTACGGCAGACGAGAGCATGACCAACGTAATATTCCTGGTGCAACCTGTAACCTCCATGTACAAAGCTATCCTAGTTTGTAGTTAATTCGAGTCGCAATCCTAACTGTCTAAGCATAGTCGAATGAGTGATTTCTAGCTTGTAAGCTCACATCTATGGCTATCCATGGACAGTATTCTACTAATATTAATATTTTTACACATGTCACGTGTGAATTTGTCCTAGTACTAATTGAATTTACAACGCTGTTCTTTGCGTTAATAATAAAATGTATTAATTGTATGTTGCATGGGAGCAGTGCAATCATATTGGACGCCACTGTAAGCGAGATCACAGCCTTACCGGTGACACAAACCAGAAGCCGCTGCGAATGTTAATGGCTAAGTCTATGCTGCCAGTGTTGCATAACCTGTCTACTCATATTTTTGTTTTATTAATACTTGATGCGAATATTTTGCGAGTTTTTGAAAATTGCGCGAAAAATATAATTATTATTATAATCTTTCGAGTTGATATTTAATCCGCCTCCCTATATAGAGAAAAGTTTTTTGCTTTCATAACCGAATTACTTTGTTGTGAATTTTTCAAAGACCTTTATTTTGTGTTGGAATTTAAATTCGAAAAAATATGCACACATTAAGTACAATAGTTAATGAATTAGTTAATTAATTAGCTTTATAAGTAAGTATAATGATAGTTACGCAAAATGTACAATTAAAAATGCTAAACATATATTTACAATATCCTTTTCCCTTGCAGCATGTCCTGGCGATCACGTTACGCTTATTTCCTCATCACTGTCCGAGTTCGAGTCGTCGTAGTCCTCATAGTACAGCTTCATGAACTCCGCACCCTGGAAGTGGGCGGCGGATGTGGGCGTGCCACTGGGCGTCACTTGCTGCTGCTGTTGCTGCTGCTGCTGGTGATGATGATGCAGTTGCGCAGCAGCTGCCGCGGCGGCCAGCTCCACCTCGCGCATGGCCGTGAAGTGGGGCGAGTGATGCAGCTGCTGCAGCTGCTCGAAGCGCCGCTGCTTGGCCTCCTGGATGCTGCTCTCCAGCTTAAACTTGAGATCGGCTGCCACCAGCTGCTTTTGCATCTCCGCATTGATCTTCGCCTGAAACTCAGCGGCGCTGCCAATGCCTGGCGGCGAAGACGCGGCCGAGGAGACCGTCGGCGTTGGTGTGGGCGTGCCCGATTGATCGCCCATCTTGATGCTGGTGAGCAGCGGCGGCGGCGAGCTGATTTGCATGCCGAAACCGTTGCCGCCGCCCGTTGGGTGGTTGATGGACGTCGGCGTCGGTGCACCCTCCACTGGTGAGCTGCTGCTGGCAGATTGCGGTGATTTGGGTGTGACAGCGGCCGCTGCCGCTGCCGCTGCTGCTGCGGCTGCTGCTGCGCCAGGCTCATCCTTGGCAGCAGCTGTGGCCGCCGTCGGCGGTGGCGTGGCGCTGCCGCTGGGCGAGAGCAGCGACGGCGACAGCGGCGTGAGCGGGCGATCGCATTTGGCATCGGACAAATCCGGATTGGGATTGTTCTTGTTGGGCAGCGTCTGGTCGCGTGAGCCGCCATTGGCCAGCAGCTCGCGCTCCTTCGAGTTACGCCATTTCATGCGGCGATTTTGAAACCAAATTTTTACCTGCAAGTGCAAATGAAATGGGTAAATTGAATATGTCCAACTGCGGATGGATGCCTGTCCGCTGCAGCTTGCGCCGCCGCCGGCCACTGACAAGGAGCTGGCCTCAAAAAGTTTTCATGACCACAGGCGCAGATAAATTCATGGTCAAATCCAACTTTTTGGCCAAAATTTTCTGCTCAAAAACTTTCTGTGGCAAAAGGCAATGGCTGCCAGTTAGGACGGAGCTGTGGGTGGCTGTCGTGTGTGTGGGCGTGGCTGGGGCTAAAAGTTTGAACTGCAATGCCAACAGCAGACGCTGGCATATCCATAATAAATGCAAATTAGAGACATTTGCTAAGCGGCTACAAATTGATTAGAGGCCGCACAGTGGAACCAAGTGCAGTCAAAAGAAGTCGTGCACATAATAAAGAACAATTGTGAACCTAAAAACATTTTTTAAAAATTTGAATATATAAATGAAATAATCTGAATTGATTAATTTCATATTGAAAATAAATGTGACGAGCTCAGGTCCGGGTTCGTAGTTGTAGTTCGCGAATCGAACTGGAAGACGAGAAGGCAAACATTTGCGGCACACTCTTGCGACACTGTGCCAAAAAGTTGGACCAGCAAAAGTGCTGTAAGCGAATGTGTGAGGGTGTGTGTTTGTGTGTTTGTGCGTGCGCTTGTGTTTATGTATTGCTGCATTTGACAGGGACAGTGAGAGACAAGTAGGACGCAAACACTCAAAGCAAATTGCAGCCACCCTGGCAACCCTGGCAGCTCTGGCCGCTGCGAACTTTTGCGACTGTTTTTGAGTTATTATTCAATGGGTGTTTACCTCCGTTGTGTTACAGTTGCTCTGTCTGGGACACAGCAGGACACTCGCACTTTGTAGCCAAGCCCAAGCCAAACAATTTGCAACAATTTATAGGATTGCCGTCCAAAAAAAGGACTGCCCGATGCCAACACGTAATTAGTTAAAATATTTGGAAAGCAAATTGATGCGTAAAATTGACTTGTAGTCAACGGCATGGAATAAAACCCCACACTCGCTTCTCGATATAATCGGCAGGCGTATAAATAAATAAACAACAGCTACAACAACAACAACAACAACAACAACTGCGACAAGAAGGACAAGAACAGTGCTGGAAAGTGCTGACATGTTAAACAAGCGATTAACCGCAGAGATTTGCCGCGCAGAACGGCCGCTGCCTCAGCCTTGGCCTCGGCCACGTGCCGAGTTTTTCGGTTTTCCTTTGCTTTTTGTGGGCGGGGGGATTTGCTGTTTTACTTACTTCCGGTCATTGAATTTTCCAGCGTCTGTCGCACCCAGCTCCCCGGGCAGACCCCTCCCCCCAACCCCGATGCAATTGAAATAATAAGCTCAGGCGGCGATAAGATTAATGATTATGGCCCAGCCCGAATTGTGAGCAGAGCCTTCGTCCTGGCCACGACCAGGACGCCGTGCTCCTTCTCGTTCTCGTCCTTTGTCGTCGTCTGTTTTTGATGGAAATTAATTATAAAGCGTGCAATTTAGTATGCGTCTGCGACTGGGGCGACGCAGTGCAAAAAGTCGACTGGAAAATGGACCTGAAACTGGACCCCTGCCCACTGCTCCCCTCTGCCCTCCAACCCTGTCCAACTCTAAGCCTCGCCTATGTCCAAGTTTAATGAGCTTGAAATTATGATGTTTGCTTTGGCTTTTAATAGGTTTAATTTCGCTTTGGGCATTTAACAAGCCAATGCGTGCCCTGAATTAGCGCATATCTAAAATATATTTAGTTATATTAAATCCGTTTCTCTAAACTTAATTTTATGATATGTAAATTATAGAATTGGGAGCTCTCATACTAAACCAATTAGAGGTAATTCGTATAAACATAAATGAGCTTTTAGCATGTTTACAAATATTGCGCTTGTTTTGGCCAGCATATTGTTAATGTATTACATCAATTGGTTTTTATTGCCGTTTTATAATATAATTCATGCACAGCCAAATGACATTGGTTTGTGTCCATTGTGGGCCTAATATGCTTGTACATTAGAAATTGTGTGTAAATTGTTTTCATCGATTTGCAAATGCGAATTCAGTTTAAATTTTATTTGTGGAGTTTTTATAAGAAAACATACCAAATTACTTGACTCTTAACTACAGGCAGGGCTTTCAGCTTGAGCTGAGATGAGAAAAGACATATCATAAGACAATCTATTTGAAGTAAATAAAATATTGTACGTATACGGATGTTGCAGACAGCTCCAAGGACTTTTGCCTATTAAGCTCTGTAATCAAATCAAGCGTTTAAATGATGCCCACCAAGGAGTCGACACATTATCCTGAACCAGTTTAGCCCCATTGGTAAGTAAGTAACAGATTTTTCTGACACGCCGCCTGCATAACGTGCAGAGCATTTGTTTGAAGTTTTTATAAGCCAAGCAAAGCGGAAAACAGCCGGAATGGGCGGCAGACGCAGTTGCGGTGCGGGGGTGGTGGGAGGGTGTGGGAAACGGTTGGCTCACTCAGTTTAGCTACAAATTGCTTTGGCCGGGCGACGGCCTCCCTTTTTGCCGAAAATTGACTTTGGCAATGAGCACAAGCTGTTGTTCGTGTGGCTGACTCCGGCTAAAGAGGTGGAGTCATAGTCGGAGTCGGAGTCGGAGTCTGGGTGCGGCAACACATGTTAACTAATGAGGCAGTTGCCCGCCGTGGGGTGGTTTGTGTCAACCCTGCTCGAGAAGCCCGGCATGTCATTCGATATGCTGCGTAATAGCGTATTAAATAGTCTGCTACTATTTGCCAAAGTCATTTCGAGTCATTTGGTCTACGTTTTGGGTTACCAACAATTTGCTACTCGAGCTACTGCCCAATGTCCTGGCTGCCAGTGGTTATTGTTTTAGGACACGGCGCCGACTTGCTAGCTCCCACTCTTGGTCCTTTCAGCATTTATTTAGCAATTTGTCATCAATTTATTTTGTAACCAAAGCTGCAAATGATGGTTTTTAATGTTTCTCAATCGTTTTTGCAAGTCGAGAAATGAAATTCGAGTTACGAACACATTTTGCTATATTCAACTGCTCTTTAACTGCCGTCAAAGTGGCTAAGGCTTGAGGAAAATTGGTAAGTGCACTAAAATGAGCTATAATTTTAGAGTTAACTATAGTAAGGTCTTTTGCCTAGCAGATTTCTTGAGAAGTTGGCTGAAGGTAAAGTGAAATTCAATCTTAAATCATTCGCAGATCTCTCTCAAAGCCATTAAGTCAATAAGAATCATAACAAACAAGTTAAGGAGACCGAAAAGAACAACGCTTTGGTCTATTATGTATCGTCTACATGTATGTAAGCATTAACCCTCATGTGTTCACAGATTATTTATCATAAAATTTGATTTAAAGCGTTTGCGGTTCGAGTTCATAAAAAACAGCAAAATCGAAACGACAAACAAATGAAAATCGAAAAAAATAAAAAAAAAAGCAAATGCCGCAAATGTCTGCAGTAAGCCACCCCACACACACACACGCACACACACAGGGTATTCCCGGCGCAGACAAATAAAATAAAGATAAAAATATTTATAACGTGAAAATGCCAAAAGTGCCCAAGTGAGTACCAAATGCTGAAGCACACAGAGTTTTCACAGTTGATTGCAAGGATTTTCCCGCTGTCTGTATAAATATTTTTTCCTTTCTGTTTTTCATTTGACGGTGCGCTCCCCCATTTTTCGACAAATCAAAAACAGACGAATTTGTTTTGGACATGACACTTAAAAAGTTGCTGCCGGCACAGCGCTGACACGTGTGTGTGTGTGTGTGTTTGTTGTGCGGGGGTTGCTAAAGGCCCAACTCGTTTAGCGAGTTATCCTGTGGATATCATCGCGATTCCTTGAGCTTTGCCTTGCGCATTGATTTAAAAATGCAAATCAGTTTATAGAATTTGCCCTCAAGATGTTTTCATTTCCGTTTTCTGTATTTGGCAGCGCATTTTGTGGTTATTGTTGTTGTTGTTGTTGTTGCTGCTGCTTTCTGGTGGCTTGGCGTTTGAAGTGTCATTAATGGCAATTAAATTTATAGCTGGCGGATTATGAGGCTGGTAACTGTCACTTGCACTCGCGGCTCACTTTAAAGGGGGCGCGTGAATTGTGGGAACCAAAAATCTACTCAAAAGCTTAATATCCATAATACCCTACAATTTTAGCTGAGTTGAACTCGATTATTTTATACGCAACGCAGTGCACGCGACTTGCAGCCATAACAATAATTCGCACATAAATCGCGGCTGGTGCAGAGTTTATAAACGCGCGCGCGTTTTTTAAAAAAGAGTTTCGAGTGCGTTTGTAAAAATCGCAATAAACGTTGCAATGAACAACACTCGAAATGATGAATCACCTGAGCGGTTGGCATCAATGCAACCGTTTGTCAACCGCAAGGCCGTGGTCGAGGCAAAGGCCCAGGACGAGGCGGAGGCCCAGGCCGAGGCTGTGGCCTGGGCAGCCGGCTGCAGCCAGCTAGTCGCAGTGCAACGAGGCCGCATATTTATGGCGGTGAGTGTACACAATAGAAGGCAGCTTGCAGCAAATGAACAACAACAATTGAACAACAAAAAGTGCAGCACGACAAAGGACATTGCGAAGCTCTTAAATCATGTTGCATACAGCTAGGCGCCAGGACACGCGCTGCAATGCAATCCCCACACACACACATATATATACACACACTCTACCTCCTGTGAGTGTCACTTGAGTGTGAATATCCGCACTCGTTCATCACCCAAAACCCACACTTATTAACACACACACACACAAACACACACAGTCAACCACATACCGGGCCCGACCCCCGCTTAGCTGTTAATGGAGCCGGTGTCGCCATCGCCGCCGGCTGGACAACACTTTGTCCTTTGTCCAGCCAGTGGGACCACTGGCACAAAAAACCTCGGACCTCGGATCTCGCAGCTTGGACCCAGGACCAACTGCTGCGCATTGAATGTGAGTTTTTCTGACATTTTTGCACATTTTTTAAACGCTTCTCCTTTGGTGCCTTGCCTTTGTTTTTGACGCCATCCCGTCGACATTTTCATTTTCCCATTTGACAAAGTGCAATTGATGAATGCTTTGATGCTCTCTCTCTTTCTCTATGCTCCATGCACATAGAGACAGAGAGCGAGAGAGAGATAGGAAAATCTAAAGAGAAATCTGCTGCTGTGCTGCAGCTTTGTAGATTTTTTGACTTCAAAGATTAATGGACTAAGGACTGGGCAATAATCATAAAATAATTGTAAGTCCGAGAGTTATACACATGACAAAGGCCAGGCACAAAAGAACATGTATAGAAAATGGATTTTCATGTACGTATGTTGTTTAAATATTAAATTTATCCCAAAATTCTCCCAGATAACTTTTTAAGCTCCCTTAACTTTGATATTGAGTAAGGAATGGATTTTATAGAATGAATATATTGTTAGTTAAATATTTGCTTATGAACAGGAACTGATATTAATTCGGTTTATGATTCGTAAACTTGTTTTTTTTTACCTCATTGAATCTAGGTTTTGATCTGAAGTCTTATATTTACAATCGCCCGTTGTACTGAAAATATGGCAAACCGTAAATATTTTCATAAAAAATATGCGGGCTACATTTGTGAGGATTAATATATCTGAAGTTTACTCAAAGATCAAATCTCATTTAATAACTATTTGTCAACAAATCTTGCCATAACCTTAAATGACCCTGTCTCATTTCATTTCTCATTTCTAATTACCTCAACAGCATTTTTACGTAAGAGCCCAGTTAACAGCACATTTCTAACTGTTTCTATAATGTTGTAATAGCTGAACGGCTTGTTAACTATTTCCATGTTAATTTATTGAGAAAAAAACAACTGAACTCTACTCAATCTAGTTAACCAGCCCGTATAATAACACATATTCCAACACCTCAGCTATATTTAACTAGTTAATTTCTCGGTTAGCCTTTAAGTCGAGAGCAACAACAACTTGGGCCATGCATACATAGCACCTTGGCATTCTGACGTCATCTGGCTGGCATTATAAGATCATTAAGGTGTATATGATCGATCGGCAAAGGGAGGCAGTGGCCTGTGAAAAGGGGGCGTGACCACGTTGCTGTTGATGAATTCATGTCCCGCTTCTCGCCTGACAAATGCAACTGGACACGCTTATTGCGTAATTATGAAATTTTTATGAATTATATGCAGTTCGGCAATGTAACGACAATAACAATAACACAAAAAAAAGCTGCACTAATTTGGCATGAGATTGTCAGCATCATCATTGCCGACGGCTGTTGCCGTTTACCCCCGCTTCCGCTGCCCGCTTCCCGCTCAGTGTTGCCGCCGGCTGCTGACAACTCGCAGTTGGCCCTTTGATTGAGTTGTGATCGATTACATTTTGACAAGGCCAAATTGGTCATGTCAAATTTTCAGCAGCGGCAGCAGCAGCAGCAGCCATGTGAAAATGTCACTGGCGAAAATGTGTTCCAGTTGCATTTCCTCTCTTCCGTTTTTTAGACTCTAGCATATTTAAAATTGAAAAAAAAAAAAACGTCACGCATGAAATCAGTACTGAATTAATGTTGTCTACATATGTACATTTTCTTGATTGCACATCTGAATTTGAATCACAGACTATTGCATGCTTTAGAAGAAGGTCTTAGTAGACAGTGTAGACAGTATTAAAAATCTATTTATTTTCCTTAAGATATAATCTTTCATTGCAAACTTCTCTCGCAGCTTATAAACATTCTGCTTGAAACATGGTCTTCTTTTAGTTAAAGTAACCCACAATTGACCGACTCACAATATCCTGATATCAACAAGATAATGATAACGATAAGCAAACTTTTTGACTTATTAAATTTATTATTGAAGAATATTAATTTATTAAATGAAGAGTATTTAATCGCTGGCATCCGAAAGATACTCAACTTCCGCTGTTTTTACTTAACTCACTTTCAACTTTTACGATTATAAAGAATACAAAAGAGAAGAATAATTTAATTATGCCGTGTTGGCACAATCAATAAAAGCGCCTCCCCCTTCTCCTACTCCGCCCTCGTACCCAGCCCGTTCGCCTGGCAAGCCGAAATGAATTTCTTATGGCTCGTTATAATTTCATTATATGTATTTTGATGGCAACAACAAGCGACCTCTCTATGTATATACATACGGCCAAGACAAGCGACTGCGCATTTAAAGGAAGCACGCCCAGACCCCCATTTACCCCCCACCCAACACCCAACACCCCACACCCTTCGCAACCCCCTTGTTCTGACCTGGCTTCCATTTTGCTCTGCGCAGCCATTGCTGAGAGCTTTCACGATATCTGGAATTTTAAGGGCGGAGTTTTATTTATCCCCGCTTTATGGCTTTTATTTTATACGCCGTCGCATTTGTTGCTGTATTTATTATTATTATTATTATTGTTGTTGTTGCTGTTGCTTTTTAAAGCTGATTTGAAAAGTTTTCGAAATTGTATGCGCGGTTAAAAATAAATTTTACAATAGCATATTTTAAGTTTATTATGAGCTCGTCCGCGAGTTTATTGATCATTTTTTTGGCGCTTGTTTATGATTCAGGGATTGGTTACATCAAATTGGCACAGTTTATGGGAAAAACTTTTGAGTAACAGAATTTTTGTTAAGTGCATTTTAAAGTAGTTGCCGAAAAATAGTTGAAAAGGCAAAGTCTTTTAAGTGAGAGAGAAATTGGAGAGGGACATAATATAAGAATAGATTATTTTCTTAAATCTCTAACTCTGCGCTGATATATTAAAATAGCGAGAACTTGAACTCACCTGAGAGTCTTTTAGGCCCAATCTCTCGGCCAGTTTCTTGCGATCTGGCTTGCTGATATATTTCTGCTGCTGGAAGCGCTTCTCCAGACCCTTGCGCTGTGAATCTGCATGCGAAAAAGAGCAACAGTTATAAGGGCGACCTACAAGCCACAAGGAACACACGCCTCCTTCCGCCTTGTGCCCCACTCTACGAACCTGAGAAGACGGCACGCCGCATCATGCCTCTGCGTGGCTTGCCACGTGTCGAATGCGCCCAGGGGAAGCCCTGACCCGGCGGCAGGGGAAACACTTGGGCACCAACTGCAATTAAACATATTGGGGAAATGCATTAGACGTGTGACGTGCAGCGGGCAGCGGGGTTGGAGCTCTTGTTAATGAGCGCCACGGGGATGCCGAACTGTTAGGCAGAGTGATTACGAGGCATTAGACTGTGGCCGGAGCACTCGCACCACTTACCACTCATGTAGGGATTCCGGCAGTGCGCCAGCAGCGAATGCAAATGCGGATGGTTAAGTGTGTGGGGCAGAAAGGGGGTCGGCCTGCTGGGCATGGGCTTGGCAATCACCGGATGCATGGGCGCTGGCGGTGGTGTCGGATGTGCCGTTGGTGCTCCTCCTGTTGCTTGTCCACTCAACAGTTGTTGCTGCTGTTGCTGTTGTTGTTGCTGCTGCTGTTGCTGCAGCTTTTCTTGCGTTAATCTTCGATTGCTGTTGTCCTCGTTGGTGTCGTTGCTGTTCGCAGTGCCGATTTCATGCGGTCGACCACCATCCAGGACAATGTTGTTATTGGAATTGCTGTTGCTGTTGCTGTGATTGTTGTCGCTATCACTAATTGTGCTGCCAGGTGACGACGAGGATGCGGCCGTCGTTGCTGTGGTTTGCGGTTGACAACTATTGCCGTGGTGATGTTGCTGCTGTTGCTGCTGCTGCTGCTGATGCGTTAGAAATGCGGGATGCGGAAAGTGGGCATGGGCATGATGATGCAGCGGGTGTGACAAGGCCAGTGGCGCCTGCCCCACCAATGCCTGATGGTGTTGCTGATGGTGCTGCTGATGGTGATGATGCGTTGGCGCCAGCGACTGTTGCTGCTGTTGTTGCTGCTGCTGCTGCTGCGCGTGATGATGATGCTGGTGATATTGATGTGTGTGATGTTGCATAAAGTTTTGCTGTAGATAAGGCCATATATGCTGCGGTTGCATAAACTCTGTGAACGATACATTGTATGCATTTATAGCAAAGGTATTTTCACAATTCAATTATGATTTTAAAGTTCGACATTTAAAAGAGATAAAAACATAATTGCCATTTTTTACATGCGGTGACAAAGCTGTCAATAAATATAGCCAAGCTATATTTATAAAACTTTGCAAGGCTTAAACTGTTTGGGAATTCTAGGTGAATGCTTTGCAGGGTCTCTCTTTTGTGTGCTAGTCGAACATATATCTCTCATATGGTCTGTCTTATTTGAAATAGTTTATGCAATTCATATTTGATATTTGGTTTATTTTTCCCCTGCTATTATTGGTATAGGATTTGGTTATAAGTTATTAACCTATCTCTGAAATGGCATGGGCTACTCGGTTCTCTTGCTCCTAATGTACAAATATGTAAAGAACATACATTTCCTTAAATAATAAATAGAGAAAGTGCGGCTAGAAACTTGTATATATCGATGAGAAAACATAAATTATTAAAACTATATATAATCAACGTAAGTAAATTTCCACTCGGGAGTCTGAATCCCAAGCTAATAATAACAATTAAATATTCCCACAACAAATAACAGCAAATATTCCCTTTTAAAGATCTGATACAAATTATGGCCTAAACTTACAACCACTTCAGAGTTTCTGGGCTTAAGCCTATCAATGAGAACTTCGAAACAAGCCCCACGCATACACGCGCACCTTATCAGCCCCAAATATTCTGTTAAGAAATCAACCCCTTTATGTGAGTGTGTGTGTGTGTTTGAGTGTGTGAATGCCTTGACTCTGGCTCCACAGCAGATGCTGCTTTGAAGTGTCAAACTGGCATAATTAAACAGCTCGCAGCTTCACATTTCCCCCCGTTGCTTTCCGTGTCGCTGCCAACACATGGAAAACTTTGAGCACACGCACACACACACACACACCTTGAGTGCAGACACCGCCAACGCCTCCAGTTTGCGATTTCAGTTCATGTGGAAACCAAACAAAAGTTTTGCGCGTTTGATTCTGGAAAGCTGGGTCGGAATGGAGGCGCCTGGGGAAAGATTTTGGCGCTTTGTGGCCGCATTTCAATTTCTAATTAAAGACCTACAAGCAGCAGACGCCATTCACATACACACACAAGCACAAACACACACATACAGCTACGACAGGCGCTGCAGGATATGATTTTAATTCGATTAGAGCGACTGAAACAATTAACGTATTAACGCCTCTTTAGTTCGTTTTGTGTGTGTGATTATGTGTGTGTTTATATGTGTGAGTATGTATGTATGTATTTATGTAAGTGTGTGCTGAATGTTTGTGTGTGCTTGTTTTATTTGCTGCCTAGTTGAAATCTTGTGGCAAGAAGTTTTTAGTATGCGACGACCATTTGCATTGAATGTGTGTGTGTGCGTGTGTGTGTTAGCCACATGTGTGCCTAATGAGCGCACAAATTAAGTTATAATTGTTTGCATTGTTTGTTTGTGCTTTTCGGCGGTTTTTCGGCCAGTTTTGCATCTGTGGCAAATCCAAATTTCGTTGGCAAAAAGTTTTCCCCAATTGGTTTATTGCGCAAAAAGTTAATTTGTGGCCATACTAAAAGTAATTCCACTGTGATAACATTTATTCGCCATTAGTTACAGGGCAATTAATTGTGTTATGAAGGCATACAAATTTTGGATAGCCTAATAGAAAAGGAAATTGTGTGGATGGATAACAAATTCAAGGAGTTGTTATATATCTCTTGTAACCTACCTAATAAGAGATTTGTCTTCATAAGCACTTAAAAAACCTACCTATTTCTCTAAAGCAGCACAATTTCTTAATACTGAACAAAACGTGTAATATCAAGATCAAAAGCCGGCTAAACACTTTATCTTTCAGCAAAATATCAATCTTAACTTATTTGATGTGTGACTCAACGGTAATATAATAACTCTTACTAGTCCAAAAGCTAAGCATTAATAAGCATCTTTTCAAAAGATGTAATTTCCTATATTTGAATTTATTTTATGTACCCTTGATCTACCCACAAACATTGGTTGGCAATTTTTGCCACGCTTCGGTCATAAAATCTACGCGAAAATACCCAAAAAATGATCGAATAAAATCACATAAAATAAAAAAGTAATAAAATACAATAAAAAGCGAAACAGCCCACTCATTAATAATGAAAGACACACAGAAAATCCCACAAGCCTAAACGCTTAAACTGGCAACAAAGCCGAAGCCAGAGCCAAGGCAAAGAATTTGCCAATTCACATGCTAAAAAACTGGATGAAATGCGGCGCAGTTACATTGACTGATAGACAATTAGTCACGCCTACTTTTTTGGTGAGGCAACAAAACCCAACTGAACCCTCGAACCCTGGTAAGCAGCACGCGCAGCCGCAAAGGACGCGCCAGGATATTGGCGAGAGAACGGAACTCGGAACACGGAACTGGTTTATGCGCATTTGGTTCTGGTGGCGGCTGCCGACGGATTTGCCGAGGCTCAGATACAATAATTTAAACATGATTAGGTCTGGTTGTGTTTTTACAGCCGTGCAAGGCCGCCTCAAGGGCTTAAGGAGCACAATAAAATAGATAGACACAAAAAAAAAAACTGATCCGAAATTGAGGCGACCCTCGGTGAGGAACTTTTCTCCTGCTTTTTTTTTTATAGTTCTGCCAAAATTGTTATTCTTTTGGCTTTTCATATTGCAATTGTATTTAGATTTTTGTAGTTCTTTGTTGTCGTTTGGCATTAGCCACGGCAAATTAATTGCCGAGCCGCGTTTATTGCGTTGCCCCCCCTTACCGTTTCTGACGCGCACTCCTTCGCGTGTATCGCCCAGGATGGCGGATACGCTGAACTTGAGTATGGGCTTGCTGTTGTTATCCTTGAGGATGGTGGTGGTGCCACTGTTGGAGCTGTTGTTGGCCTCCTTGGGCTCCACTTTGGGCAATTTGATTGCCTCACGTTGTGGCTGCAGCTCCAGCTCATCGTCCAGCAGCTCCTCCTCGTCCAGGTGCGGCGCCTCAACGCTATCGATGTCAGCGACAATCTCATCCTCGTCCTCTTCGTCCTCATCGTCGTCCATTTCCATTTCCTCGATGCTGTCAACACTTTCCGCACGAATCTCGCGAATCTCACGGCACTTATCACATTTATAGCCACGTTTGGCACAGTTGCACTTGCACTCCTCCGGCGCTGGTTCGCTCTGGCCACGGCTCAGGAGCATCTCGCTGAGGCTCGACTTTAGCTGGCTATCACTGTAGCTCTGGGCGCGCTGTGCATGCAGTAGGCTGTCCACGAGAAACGCCGTCGACATCACGTGCCGTTTTGCTCAAAACGGACAATATCTACTCTCAATATATATATATAGTGTCTATATATGCTTGGCCAGTGCTGTGCGCGCCGCGTAACCGTCGACTGCTCGATTCGTACTGACTGAAGGCACCAACAGAGTCTGGCTCCGGCTGCTGCTCCTGCCTGGCGTGGCTGCTCCGCCACAATTTAGGGGTTGCTCTACGGTGGTTGGTCTGTTTCTCCTGCCCAGTCGCTGCTCGTGGCTCGCTGTTCGCTTCTCGGTTCGCGCTGCTCGCTGCTCGTTTATGTGGCACGTGACGGCCTCCTTATGTACATAAATGCCTATATCCACTCTTGGCTCTCTTTGTATGTGCTTTTGTGTCCTGTGGCGCCTTGGCCCGGCTCGCCGACTGCCTGACTGGCTCTTCTGTTCCCTTATTGTTGTACGCTTTTTATTTGATTTTATTTGTGTGAAAACAATAAAAATTTAATTTTCTTGTTTTGTTGCCTGCCTTGAACTGCTCTTCTGTTTTTTTTTTATGTCTTGCCTCCATTTTGTTGCTGCTGTCCTGGTTATGCTCTCTTCGGTTGATCCTTTGCTGTACGCCGGCAACCTGAGCACACTGTGCGCACAGTGGGCTGGATATGAGCTAAATGCTGCTGAGTAAGCAGGTATGTAAATTCATTTATTTATAATTTTTCACACTGACATACACTAAATAAATATAAAAAAGTTTGACTTGTTATATATATGACAATATCTTTATTTTATAAAATTGTCTTCGGTTCGGATTACGATTTGAACCAACTCTCTGGCTTGAGGTTGACATCGTATATCATTATAGACGGATTTTGTTTAAAATCTTGGCATAATTTTCAATATTTCAAGGAAAAATTCAATTATTATTGTTAACACTTGCCCGTTGTACTGAAAATATTGCAAGCCTTACATATTTTCATATACAATATGCGGGCTACATTTGTTCTTTACCCAAAATTGGCATCTATCAAATATGTTTAGATAAATCCAATGATTGGGACCAGATTTATTTATACTTTGGAGCAGGGTCTCTCGCTAAACTTTCATATTTTAAAAATTCGTTTGAACTATACCCATAAAGAAGGATATAAATATAGAGGAAAGTATCGCCTTATGGCTTCCAAAAGTTTCCTTAATAAACCTTAGCACACTGACAAAACATTCAAATTTTATCGAATTAAAAACAAATTTAGAATTTTTGAAATGAGAATATATCAGTTCCATTTTTATAGAGAATTTTTTGGCAATTTTTCCAAGTGTTGACATATTTCTTATATGCAAGTAATCCATAGTTCGGATTACTTACCCATAGTTTCTCTTAAGAATATTTTAATTTTTAGCTTTCCATTCAATTCAGTCATAAAAAATACGCTATGCGAGCTGTTGTTATTTCCAAAATGGTTAATATAAGCTGCAGCTAGATCCAGTGCAAGTTAGCCTCATGAAATATGCTGATTCACTTAGCCAAAACAACTTGGCCAGAAGTTGTCCATGTCCATACGCAATTTGTTGCAGCAGGGACAACGTTTGGGAAACAAGCGCCAGGAGTCAGTAGATTAACTTTTATTATGACCGCAAATTAGTTGTCCTCGGCGCGTTGATGACGACAATCGACAATGATGACTTATTTACTAAACGGGGAGAGGCGACAACAACTGCGGCATTGCAGGGTTATACGGCAAGTACATAGAGCTGAGTTGGCCAAGTGACAGGATTCCTGCGCTGCGTCTCCTGGGTTTATATAAGCTTGGAAACTGGCTTTGCTTGTCCTTTTGACTTTTATGTGTGCGCCACTCTATTGTACAATACATGCACAAGCCTAGTACTCACACACACACACACACACACACACACGCACAGAGAGACATAGAGAAAAGCAACCCTTGTTGTGGCTTTGCTGAGAAGCAAACGAAAAGTGCAAGTGGTCGTCCTTGTGCCCCTGCTATGCTTTGTGGGCGTGGCCTCACTCGAATTGGAAACTCATCATCAACAGCGAGGAGCACTCTCAGCGCCAACAATAAGAATAAGGCTAACAAAGCAGCGACATATATGTAAGTACTATAAGTGTGTGTGTGTGTGTGTGCTTGTGTGTGTATTATCCTGGCATTGTTTTGCCAGCCTTTTTGCGCTGCCATTTGTGGGTTTTTGCTTTCAAAAGGATTACTCCGCATCCTGCCGCTGCCAGCGAGTACATAAAACATGCTCATATAAGCGTATAAATATGTGATAATAATGATTAAAAGTTCTCATCATGCCAAGCCATCATCATTTATGCAAAGGATTTCCACCATGTGCCCCGTATGTGTCTCTGGGTGTCTCTCTCCGTGTGTGTGTTTTTGTGTGTGTGCGTGTAATTCTGTGTGTGTCCTTACATTTTTATTTGGCACCAAAGCTATGCGACGGCTTCAGCTTGACTATGTGGGTGGCTTTCGTTTTGTGGGGCTGTGAGATTGCGCTTAAGCAGATGATTTCAATTTTCCACAATTTGGTGCTTTGCCAGTTGTCATTGGGAATGCTGAGCTCCTTATGTGTGTGAGTATGTACGTGTGAGTGTGAATCTCTTTGCTGGCTGCCATAATATAAGGACAATTATTTGATAAGTGGGCTGAATGTGCAGCAATTGCTGCTGTCGCGCTCCTTGACAACTGAAAGGGGTCACAATTCAGATTCCGTTTGGCGTGCTGGGCTTCATGGGGTTCACTGAACCCCAAACCACAGTCGGGTAAGTGTTAAAGACAAACTTTTAATTGTTTTATTCGGCGGCTATCCGAGTTTATGTCTGTTTTGTTGGCTGCCAAAGTGTTTGCTGAATTGGAAATATGCAAATTATTTCAGTTGTGTGCTCCATTTAAATATTGTTTGTGAGTCTTTGTGTAGGCGATTTTGCGTGCCTGTGCACGTGGATCGTCAGACTATATAGACTTTAAAAGGTTTTGATTAAAAAATTAGGTTTTATAAATTGTGGAACATGCCAAAGTCAATAACTCGCCTTTTAGTTCGGTTTCGGTTGTATTTACTATTTTTAAAAATTTCTTATAATGAAGTTTGTTCGTTTCTACATTAGCAGTATCAAAAATGTTGCCGTTCTATGCGATTCTCACGAAATCAAGTAAGATTTACAAATACCTTTTTAATTCCCTTTTTATTTAATTAATATTTAGACAAATACATTTTAAATCTTGGCTTGCAAATTAAATTTACATATATTCTCCTAAATGTATTGGCAAATGTCAATTTCATATTTTCAGCTCGCAAAGCCTTGTCAAAACCAAAAAAATGTATCTCTTGGTTCTAAATTAAACTTACAGATTCGATTTATTAAAAAACCTTTGAAATTTTAAGACATTTTATCATAATAATGTATTTATAAAAAGTTTGCCCAGAGCTTTTCATCTTTTTCCAGGTAAGCAACATCGATGGCAGTTCTATCTTTCAAACCGGCTCAAAGACTTTGTCAACTCGCAGATTATCAAAAGGCGGCGGGCGATAAGAAGCCACTACAGCCACAGGCAACAGGGATTGGGTGAAGATGCCAATGGAATGGAATTGACAGCCGCATCATTATATGGATATCATTATATCGTGTACTCGTATCGTATCGTGTGTATCGGCATGGGAACGACTACAATGGATGCCGATAGCACGCAGAGCGAAAAAGAAGGTTAAATGTCACAAGATGCTGCACGCGGGTGTCGCAGACAGGCTGGCAGCCGGAGCTGGGCAGGGCGTAGGGAGAAGGAGGAGCACATATATGTTTCGTTGTGGGCGTGGATGGGCAATATAATAAAGAGCAAACATTTATACACGACACTCGATGGGAACGATATATAGAAAAGCAGAACACGGAGCAGCACAGTTCATGAGCCACGAGGACGACCGCCGCCAAGTCAACTGTCGATATCAGCTGCTGCACGCCCGCCTATTCCCCCCGCACTAACCTGCACCCGCCCGCGCCCCTGGCTTGCCATGAAATGAATGCGAATTCTGTTTGCTATCGATTTTCAGCATAACGTTTATTATTTTTATTATATGGCAAATACGTAGGGTGGCTGGCAAATTATGGGCTTTTCATAACGTTAACAGTCGCATAAATACGCTCTTTTGTGTCAACCAAGTAGAAAAAATGCGATAAAAGATTATAAAGTGTGTGTTGGTTGGCCGGATTCACTGGATTCACTGGATTCACTGGATTCTTTTGGCTTTGGCTATGGCTGTGGCACAGGCTGCCGGGCAGTGTGTGCTTGGATGAGGGCTGGGCGGGCGGTTGGTTCTACTCGGCTTGGCGGCGACATCTGTTTCCGACATCTTTTAATAAAATTTTCATCTTTATTACGAAACGATTGTTTTATGTGCCCCAGCGGCACAGAGCACAGCTCACTACTTAAACTGGACGTGTCCTGCCACGCTGGCAGGAAGTCCTTCTGCGGCTCGCGCGCTCCCAGCTGCAGCTCCCTGATCCTCTGTCCAAACGGAAGTAATTAGAATGAAGCGATTTTTAGTTGCGAGCGGCGCAAAAGTTTTCTTTCTTTCTTTCTTCTCGCATTTGCATTTTCATAAAACTTTTCTGTAAACGGCGGCAAGTTCATGACTTCACTCCATGAAAATTTAATTTGATTTAATTTTTTTCGATTAAACTTTTATTTTTTGTCTACATGTATATGTGTAAAGCTTGTCAAAAGTGGACTGTAAACAGCCGCTTGTATATGGAAATAATTGCGCATTTAATTGCTTAATTTATGAATATTACACAATGCAATTCGTATTTTTATTTATGGCCCGTGTGTGGTGTGTGTGGTTTTGGTTGTGGTTTCCGAAGTGGTCTCGTATAATATTTAAAGTGTTGTCAATATGTTTACGTGCCCGGCTGAGTGGCATATGCAATAATTGCGATTTATGAGTAACTGCTTAATACATAAAATTGTGGAATGCTTCTGCAATATTGATAATGCATTATTTTAAATGTACAAAAACGTTTATGGCAT